TACACACAAAAAGTCAGTATCGTGGAAATCAAAATTGCCGAAAAAAAAATCAAAATAGCCAAAAATAAGTCTACACACAAAAAATCAGTATTGTGGAAATCAAAATTGCCAATCTCTTTTGCTCTGAGAAAATACAATAAAATAAAAATAATGAATGGAAAACAGGAAGACGTGAACGTGGCAGGACAAAATCAAAAATTGAGATTGAAGCCTAGAATACTTATCAATGCACAGCAATTAAGCCAAAATGACTATCAAGAGAAACATAACCTGAAGTATGTTCATGAAGATAATCTGAATGCAAAACACATAAAGAAGGAGCGAACTAATCTGAATTTCTCAAACTGATGCTGTTTAGAAGTCTAACACCACTCAAAAAACATGAAACGAACAACTAAAAACAAATATTTTGATGTAGCAGTTTTATCGCCACATATATTATACAAAGTCGTTCACTGACGAGAAATGCAAATTGCGCAAACATATGAAATATGCCTGAATTAATACTTGAAAATGGTATCATTATTAAGACAAAAAAATGCCTGACTATACAAAAAATAAAAAAGTACTGCTTGAATGCATTAAGAAGTGAATCTAAACTGTACACAATAAAAGACGAAGAATAATCATCAAAATAATTTTTCAAAAAACAATTGTGATTAGATAAACACAAAACATTTCCATTACAAGACTGTCAATATGAAAATCATGAGAAGACAGACTACGTGCCAAAATGATGATGCTATACATAATCAAAAAAAAAGCTTAAGCATACCCATTAAAAAAAATTGTAAAAAGAGCTGTCGAGATCATATCATTCAATTATCGTTTATGAGGAAGAGTCAAAAAGTCACTGCAATACTTGAGTGATTGTATCGCTATCTAAATGAGGAAACGCACTACTTTCTCCACCCTCCCAACATAAATCTTTACTTAATTCGCGGCTCTGAATTGCATTTGTTTCCTTATCCACTGATATACACGAATTCCCATTACTTCCCTCATCCATATGATCTACTAATCCACTCATTAAGTCACTAAAAAATACATTAAATTAGTATGTAACAGATGGCATACTAATTGCACTTAAATTTTTTTCGGCTGATGCTAAACAGCAAATGTGACTTGTTGAAGCAATAAAACTTTCTCGAAAGAAATTGAACAAAGAGAACATGAAAAGATATTTTTCAGCAAAGATTGGTGAGGTACCCTAACACAATAAAAGAAGGTAACATACGTGCAATTAGAATGTTCTTGGCTCTTTGTTTTCTGAATTCTTTCCTGATACATATCATGACGTTCTGTCTTTTTCCAAATATAGTAAAAATGTACAATTTCTCCGACTGTTCTGTGTGGTAACTGCAAAAGCATTACAGATAATATTGAAGAAAAATATCAATCAAAAAAAAGCTAAAGAAGAATCAAACTTTTATAATATATTGCAGTATCAATTTCAATTTAACATAAAATAAATTTTCTACATATATATATATGTATATAAACACATGTGCTTTGTATGTACTCTGTGATTCCAAGTTATTCCTTCACTAATATATTTTGTGAATTATTTAACAACGATTGTCAGTCCTCCCGAATCAATTACATTGAGCCCACGTCATATCATTCTACCCACCCCTTTCACTGTATGCATAAGAAAGACATTTACCCACCTTATCTGCAGCCCATAAATTTGTAATACATTTTTTCTTCTTGCTGGTTCTGAACTTAAAACATATATGATAACGATATCAAATTTTCTGAACTGCTCTAAAATTATTTCTATCTATTACTTCATTTTTTCTTATCATTTCCAGAACTAAACATATGTTTTGAGAGACATCAGTATAAAATCTGCAAAGATAAAAATGAAAAATCTTACCAGCCGTCTGATGAAATAAAAATTCTTTTCGTACATTTGCATGCCCCTTTCGAAAAGCTCGCAATCCTGAAAGTATGACCGTATTATTAAATTACTATTACTTGAATTGATTTTTTCATTTTTCATTACCTTCAATAACCATTTCGGCATACCTGGTCAGTCCACCTGGCAGGATTAGGCCCAACACTTTTCAAGGGAGCATTAGCAGGAGGAAACGGAAAACTAGCCAACGCAGCATGAGTATCGTAGCCTGCATTCAACAAAGCTCTGAAAAATATTTCCAAATTGAAAAACTTCTAAAATTTCGATATATTTCATATATAGTTGAAGATTCCACCTAGATCCATTTTACAAAATCTAAAAATGACCCTCTGTTCCTATAATTTATACGCACACAAGAAATTACTCGACGCATATCACCTATAACTGCACCATCCATTACAACTTACGATACACATTCACATTACTTTTGTAATTATGCAAACTTGCGTACATTCCCAAAAAAGTTCAACAAAAAGCTCACTTTAAAGCGTCTTCATCATCCCTTACTGGAAAACCACGATTAGTATTGCCAGCTTTACGTGTTTCCTTTAAATCACTGCGCTGAATTCTCATTTTGTAATAATCCTTCAAATATTCTTCTAAATTCCTCATTGGAAATCCAGCATGTGGTGCCCATAAAAGCACATCGCGTTCTCCATCTACAAATAATTAGCTAAAACTAACTAGAAAATTAAGTGAAGACTGACAGCGAATAAAGTGTATATCTTACGCGGGCTTTTTGATCTTGGCAAAATTATGTCAGGTATAGAGGCTTGATATGATGGTCCTTGCCTAACAATTCTTCGCCAACGCCCAGGTGGTAAGTACTCAGTATCTTCATCATTATCATCAAGATCCGAAAAATAACCATGCCCCTTCCGATTTCTCTCAGGGGACATAATTAAAGAATCGGACACATCTAAAAAAATTTACAATACTACTCTACAGATGATGACCATCTCTGTAAGTAGGCAATATTAAAGTAAAATTATTTGTATGAAACACCACTTCAATTAGAAGACTTAAATTGAAGGAACAATAAAGACATATTCAACTCACAAACTTTAAATGAAGTGGACTCTGTAAAGACATAAATTTTTTGAAGTAATTTTAAAGAGCAGCCAGTGAACGAAGACGTGTTAATATTGCCTAGGGCCGAGTAGTTTATCAGCAACCGGAATTGAGTTTAAAAGTGATAAATAAATAATAACTGAACAACAAACTCTGTTGAACGACTACAACATATCAAAAAGTGCTTGTGAAGAAATTTCTGACCTGTTTCTGTAAAGTCAATACTCGCAATCCCAGGATCAGTACTCTCTGATTTATGAGTGTCATCAGATGTGGATGTGGACTGAGAATCGTCATACTCTTCATCAGGAACAGAAGCACAGTATTTTTGTCTTAATTCTTCGACAGTTAAATTAGCGTCATCTTCTAGCAACTTAAGCTCATCTTGGTAGTTGTCTTCTGGATGTAATAGTTCTTCCTCATCTAAGGTACCTGAAAAACTCACAATTCTACTGCACCAAGAAAAAATTTTCCCTACGGCTAAGTAAGCACTTAAATATACCTACCTTCATCATCATATGCTTCTTCCCCTTCTTCGTAATCATCTTCCGCTCGAGAATCCGAAGGTTCTCCGTCTGTCATTTTTTGATATGCAAACTTGAGAGCAAAAATGATGTATGCTAAAATAGGTAGTTTTATAAAGAATTTCATCGGTAAAAAATTTTGCGCAAGTTTCGCAAGCCTACTAAAACTTCAATGTAAGCTTATGGTCCTTGATCACTCTCAATAATTTTCTCAAACAAATACGAATACCTAAACAAACAAGTACTCAAATGCGCACGAGATTACAGAAATTCTCATCTATAGAATTGTGTGGTCGCACAAGTACGCGACGCACTTCATGGTGCATAAACTACGCAACTCACTTGAGCAACCAAGCCGATCCGCAGTTTTCTTCTGACACTGAGCAATCGACCACATGCACGCTCCCATGACACAAAACTCGGTCGGACAAGTTTATGACGCTATGAAAACTCGCAGATTACTAAAGATTTCTGGGTATGCAATTTATGAATGGGAGGCATTACCATTGTAAATGCTTCATTTGTTGAATTTGATAGTTGGAAAATTGCTGACAGAATCTTTTTGGTGTTATTAGTGCTTCTCAATTGTTGATACAGAATGATAATGATGATAATGATAGTCAGAATAATGACTACTAATGCATCGATCTGTTTAGCGCTAAAGTTTTGCAGTTTCATCTGCATCTGAAAAATAGCAGTGATTGTTGAGTATATGGTAAAGTTTCCGAAGATTACATATAAGCAATTTTCTTCTGACAAATTTATCGCTTGACATCGAATAGTTTTATACGAAATCATGAAAAACTCATAATTCTTGGGATAATACTTGATTATTCAATAGCGTATAGCAAAATCACAAAAGTTATGAATAAGAGCGATTTTTCTCAATTGCAACGCATTTGCTATCATACAGTTCGCTGTGTTTTTTTCATACAGTACTAGCATCAACTAATATATTAGAAGAATATCACACGTTACTAATACGTGTGGTATCGCTGAATGGAAGGGTGATGTATGCAAATATCTAACCAACATCTCAGAGATAATACAATGAAAACTTGCATGATAAGGTTGAATTGATAGAAACAAGTTTTCAAGGTTATGTTAAGAGTGCTAGCTTTATTGCTTGAAGCGCAAACTGGTGCAGAAATTGCTCTTCTCAATATAGTTACTACACAACAGAAACAACATATTAAGTAAATGAAACAAAAAAATAATCCATCAATTTTTCATTATGCTCACTTCATGTATGCAGTAATTAGAAATAGAGTTTAAGATATGCATCTGTTAATTCGTTCATTTATTCAGTGTTGACAAGAATGATGATGAGAAGAATGATACGACAGAAAGAATGATGATGAATTAATTAGGTAATTAATTAATTAATTAACCAAAGAATGAGAGAAATAATAAATTATGATATATCATTCATTCAATCGCTTTACAGTAACAAAGTAGGTTATGATGCTCATCTCTTCTAATGTTATTCATTTATGGCATAATATTTTACTTTTATGTGTTATGAAGCTTGCCTAATACTAAACTCATTTGTTAAATTATTATGCATAATGAGTACTGGTTAATTATTATTCGTAATTCATGCAATATAACTTATCTATCAAACTGCTTTGAATTGTTAGTAATGATCATACTCTGACCTCAACAACATGCTGTAGAAATGAATTAAATCACTGCCAGGGGCAAAATCGTTCAGGCAACAACAGCGTCTGCTTGCACTACACCTTAATCTTATCTGATCATTTTCAACATATACATGTTGATCATACCTGAAAAGTCTCTTTTTCAGTTGTTGCCGCTACCAAAACTTCTTCCTTCTGTTCCAGAATCAAAGGTCATATGCTAATTGTCATCACTTACCACCTCTTTCTGTAATGCATCTTTCCTTACTTTAACCTGTTTTTCCGTGTGTAATGCTGAATGAATGCTCAAACAAACAACTGCAAACTTTCCCTTCATTTTCATTCCTTTTAGCGAAAAGTGTATATTA